GAAGAATTCGGCTATCGTCCCCATCGGGATTACTTGATGTCTCTTTATAATTGTTATCCATCCGGCTGGATCGTTGCGGTTGGCAAAAGGGGAAAGATAATAGGTGTATATATATTATCGAAAAAATACAATTATAAAAATATTATTTTATATTAGGTACGATATTTATGATGAATATCAACGATAAACAAGCCTTCGGAGGGTTATTCGCTGTAAAAAAACGATACAGATGTAAAGGTATAGGGGGACAATTATGGAAAATTCGTGCGAATCATATTGGGAATCGCAATTTAGGAGTAAATGCTGTAGAATCCAGGATAGTTCCTAATGAAAAACTAGGGATGAAATTGGCATTTAGAAGTAAAATAAAAATAACCAGAGTTTGAGAGACTCTTTACACTTTTTTTTTATTTGAGAATGCTCAAATTGGTTTTGTTTTTATGATTTTTTTTCAAACTCTGTAAAAGCAAAACACATAGAAATATTTAAAAGATAAATCTGTTTAGAATTATTATTTTCAATTAGTTCTTTTATATATAATATAATTTATTTATTTTTATAATAATAATAATAATTTGAAGTGTCCAGATATTATGGACGAATTACTGGGACAATCTTAAATTCCCTCAGAGCTAAATTACTTCTTCAAAGTAACCCCAAGTATACCTACACCAAAATGTCATACGAAGAAGCCGAACTTCTAAAAGGACTACTAGATTCCATCATCGAATACGACACTTTAATTAACACGATATCTCGCTCGAAGTTTCTCCAAGAGTCTATATACTATTTCGATCAAACAGTGACGATAGTATGTACCCAAAATTACGATAATAACCAAAACATCGAAATGCCCCATAAAGTGGTTGGCTATGGAATGTTGAGGCCTCGTATCGAAGGTACTACGATAGGACCCCTCTACGCGGATTCTCCAATAATAGCGGAAACGATATTTGAACACTTGCTCAATCACATCACTGAACCAAATACTCTCGTTGATATGACTATAATAGACGATTGTTTCGGCAAAAAATATGTCCCTAAAACGATGACAGGAGGTCCTCAAAATAAGAGTATGCATTCGAGAAGCGCAAAAAACTTGATAGCCAATTTGGGGCTAAATTTGGAATGTCATCTGTATCGTATGTATTCTAAAGACAACACCATTCTACCGGTCAATAAAGTTTTCGCTCTGAGTAGCTCTGAAGCATTTTTATTATAATCGATGCATGCCCATTATAATTTTGAATGTATACCATTATTTGAATTGATTTTCATACAAGTGTTTGATGGCAATAAAAAATTTACATACAAAAAGTTTCAAATTTTCTTAATAACAAATTAGATTAGAAAGTCAAAATAATCTATTAATAATTTAAATTTTAGGATATTTTGAATATATCAAAATGAAGATACAGGGAAAAAGTAACATTTATAAGACAACTTTTTAGCTGATAAACAAATATAGAATTATAAAAAAAGAGTTATTTTAAAGTATTCTGTGAAGAGGAGACGAGAGCTATGGTAGGTGTTTTGTTAAGTTGAAATTTTATTTTAGAGGATAAATAAGACTAATTGTATCTTTGGATATCCACATCATTAGATACTAAAATAAATTTTGAAAAACCGGCTTATACTGCGCTATTTAGGGTTACGTAAATGTAATTTACTATTTATAGGTGACCTTGTGTTAGATGGAATATATAAAATTTAACATATAAAACACAAATTTTTATTGTTGTATTAAACACATTTTATTTCCAAATGACAAATATTTTTTTTTAGAAAAATTAAACTTCGCAATAGGGGCACACATAAAATGGATTCTTCTTAGTACAACTTGAATGTACCCATTCTGGACATTTGCCATACTTTATCCAGTCTTCGCGTTTTTGTGGCTATAATTTTTACCGCACATTACACAAAATGTTCTTTTATTTGCTACTTCACCCTATGATGTTTATCTCTGAAGATAGTGAGAGCTAGAAACTAGAAACTTTGGACTAAGTTTAATCCGTAGCTTAGACGTTAGGAAATATGATTAATAAATTTCATATAAATGAAAAAGTAATTATAATTGTTTTTGAATATTTTGAATAAGGAGCTCTCATTACTAAATAAGCATATGGTAGATAGCGTGCATAGAAATATATCTCTTGACCAAATTTGAAATAATTAGACCTAAAGATAAAAATTTTATAGCCGCTTGTCTTTTTACCCTATCTTACGGATAGACCCGGCCTCCACCGTAGTGCATTCAGATATATTTTTCCAGGAAGGGATATATATTTTTTTATGTTTTTTTTAAATTATAGCAATCTTATATAAATCCTAACTACTATCACAATCCAAGTAATTGTTTTATGGGAAAAACATATCAAGCCATAATAAAATCAGGTCATAGCTTGCTGCAAGGATTACTAAAAAGATCTCATGAAATTAGAATTAAACTAAACCGAAACCAAATCAATACTTACCAAAATATTTATACTAGGCCAAATAGAACTTGGATTAAAATGACAAGTTTTAATTCATAGTTCCGGCTTTCGAAAAAATTATATACTATGCCATCTGGTAGGGACATTTAATTTTAATGTCCTCATTTGAGTTGCATTGGTATTATCATCATTGGTATCATCGGAAAGGGGTAACAAAGCATGGGTCAGTGCTATCAAGATCTAGCATATCCGATGTTAGGATCCACTGTATTTTGGCATTTTCTCTGCAGACATCGTACAATTACAATAGTAATGTTGACCAATCATTCGAATATTGGCATTTATACATATGCGACCAAATTTGATTCCGTAAATTTCGATAGTAAATAAATTAATTTTTTAAAATTAAAATTTTGACTTTGAACGCACCCCTAAGGTCACGTCTTCTGTAGCGTTTTTTGTAGCGTGTAAAAAAAAGAGGTGCTAATATTTGCCAAGTCACTCACGTCTGTTTGTATTGTTTAGAGATTTCGCGAAAATGATAATCACCAATATTCATATTTTTAATTGACAGCGAAAAGACATAGGCCTCATTTATAGTAAACATCTTATGTTCAAGCGTTGCCTTATTTAACGCAGACGCCAATAAATAGGTATAAATGCAGCATTACGATGATAACGCTATGATAAAATTTGAAAAAACGTATGTTGCGATGCGTTAATAAAGAAATTACGCTATTACTATTATAAAAATAATAAATTCGATTGTATAAAATGATTATCTCTTCGCTTTATCTTAAATTGGTTATTAAAACTGAATCAGCTGTCATAACGCATTTACTATAAATGAGACCATACGCTAAATTATATTATTTACCCGACAAATTTTTTTCTTCATATAAATTAAAGTTTTGTTTAAAAAAAAATATGAGAAAAGTATATTAAAATTTATATCCGATTCTTAGAATAATTTTGGATCTTTTGAGTTTATCTGGTCTTGGCAAAAAAAAAAGATCTCCCGCCTTTTAGAGTTAAGGAGTACTCTTGATTTTTCTAAGAAACAGCTGTTAGTAAATTTTGATACACTTTCTCCCGTTGTTCACCTTAGTTATTGTTATATTCTACACCAGGGAAGTATATTAATTATATTTTTATACACCTGTGCCTTGTCTCCAAACCATAATAAACAAGATAAACCAAAAAAGAAAGTCCATCAAAATGACATAGGGGTACACTACTCAGAGCAATAATTTGAGGAATAAGTTATGTCCAGAGTTGTTAAACTAGCCAGCTACTTGTAGTGCGCTACTATAGCGCTCGTTCTTTTTTGGGTAGCAATAGCTAACTGTGGGCTACCTTTTTTTCCAATTATTTATTTTTCTAGCTCACTCCTTTTTTTTGCTACTTAGCTATAATGAATATAACTATAAACATGAAAATTTAAATAATATATCATAATTATTTATAATTTTTTATGAATTATTATATTAATTGAAATTGAAATTGAAATTGAAATTTATATTTATATTTTGAAATTTGTAATTTGTAATTTGTGTTATAAACCTGAATTATCTAGTGTAAATTTTTTAATGGATATCGAAATCGATGTAATTGAGTCACACAATGTCAATATTAATAGAGTGGAAAGTACCCTGGAAGAAAATGTTCCTGATAACAATAATACAAATCTTCCATTTTTTAAGATCAATGTTTAAAAAAAAGCCAGTAAACAAATTTATTTGTTTAAAATGTAGGAAAAAATATATTCTCAAATAAATCTAGTATATATAACCTCAAAAAACCCCCTTTATTTTTTTAATTTATAATAATATTTTTATTTTGTAAGAATGTTCATGCCGACAGTTTCAAAGAGATAGGAAACCACCTTAATAATTTTGGTTTAGGGGAGACCACATCCAAAATAAAAAGCAATTCAATTGAATTCAAGCTAAATTAATTTAATAATATTGTACATGCCAATATTTCTCAGAAACTGGCTAATAAAAGCTCTCGGGAAGATATTTAACTACTTTCTCTAGTTTTAACAGGGAGCAAAGGCTAGAAAAAAAAAATTTGATTTCCGTGACTCCAAATTCTGGACCAATATTTTGTAAAAATAATGTTTCACCTAAGGTCGTTAAAAAGTCCGATTAAAATTTTAGCCAAAATATTACGTAGGCCTCAATATTTGGCTCATAGATGGCCGTACTAAATCGAGGCTTACGTAATATTATTTTGATTAAAATATATGAATATCTTTTGAATTTATGTTCAACGCGGAACGACAAAATAGTTAACGATTTCATAACCAATTAATCGGAATTTTTAAAAGTGTCGGATCAGACCTCAATTAATTTTAATCGTCAGCTGTAAATCGCTTTCGATTTCTACTTGCCTATAAATTCAGGTTTATAAAAAAAAAGAAAAAAAATTTAAAATTTACGGAATTTGAAAGTTTGATTTATTTTGTAAATATAAAAGCATTATTTTTTAAAAAAAATGAAATTAACATTATCGAGAAAGAAATCATTAATGAAGTTAGAAATTTAATATGTATGGTAATTAATTCGTGCAATAAAAGTATCTTTCAGTTTCATTGCTTTTTTGTAAAACAATTGTTCTACGAAGAGAAATATCGCTCGTTTTCATAAAGTGGTCAATACTCGCGCAAAGCAATTTGCGTCGATTTTTACGATATTTTGGATCGCATTTCAAATACATTTTATAAGTAAGGTCAACTTTTATCTCATTTTCTTGACATAGGCAATGGAAACACTCCAAAACAGAGTCGCACCAATTTCTGACCGTTGAATTCTGCTTTTTCATGTAGGCAGAATATTTTGATCCTTTGGAGGGCACGGTAAAGTCTTTATCATCGTAGTCGTCATCTTCATCTTTCTTGGATTTGTCAGTTGTTTTATTCATTCTTTTCTTCGTTGCAGAAGTGGAGAGTTTAAGTGCACTCGTTTTGACCGATGGCATCGTTTTTAGGGACGACTTGGTTACCTTCTTTCCAGTTTTAATTGTAGATGTGTGGTTAACGGTATTAGTGCTTGGAACTAGACTATTCAAAGAATTGTTACCCTTGTGACCTTTATTATTGTTGAGCCTTGTTCTAAGCGTTTTTCTTGTTCTTCTGTGATGTTTACCATTTTTAGTAGATAATTTGCCTACCCGAGCCTTTGTAGATGTGGATAAAGTAAAAAGGTTTGTTTCGACCGACGGTATAGCCTTTGAAGGTATGGTCACCTTTTTATCAATTATGCTCTTGGTCGTGACGATAGCGATATTGGTGCTTGAAACTAGACTATTCAAGGAATCATTACCTTTGACACCTTTATTGTCGATGAGCGTGGTTTTGCGCGTTTTTCTTGTTGTTTGTTTATTATTTTTAGTAGATACTCCAAACTTTGTAGATGTGGGGAATGTAAATTCGTTAGTTTCGACCGACGACGGTATGGCTTTTGGAGATGCGGTAACCTTTTTCCTAATTGTACTCGAGGCGGTGTCGATAGCGATATTAGAGCTCGGAACTAGGCTACTCAAAGAATCGTTACCTTTGTCGCCTTTATTGTCGATGAGCGTGGTTTTACGCGTTTTTCTTGTTGTTTTTTTATTATTTTTAGTAGATACTCCAATCTTTGTAGATGTGGGGAATGTAAATTCGTTAGTTTCGACCGACAACGGTATGGCTTTTGGAGATGCGGTAACCTTTTTCCTAATTATACTCGAGGTGGTGTCGATAGCGATATTAGAGCTCGGAACTAGGCTACTCAAAGAATCGTTACCTTTGTCGCTTTTATTGTCGATGAGCGTGGATTTACGCGTTTTTGTTGATGTTTTTTGTTTACTATTCTTAGTAGACAATTTTTTTACTTGAATCTTAGCAGATGTGGGGAATGTCGTTTCGACCGATGACGGTAAAGGTTTTGGAGATGCGGTAACCTTTTTCCCAATTATACTCGAGGTGGTGTCGATAGCGATATTAGAGCTCAGAACTAGGCTATTCAAAGAATCGTTACCTTTGTCGCCTTTATTGTTGATGAGCGTCGTTTTACGCGTTTTTCTTGTTGTTTGTTTATTATTTTTAGTAGATAATTTGCTTACTTGAATCTTTACTGCAGAAGTGGGGAATGTGAGTTCGGTCGTTTGATCCGAGGATTTATTGCTAGTAGACCCTACAGTTGAGTTAATTCTATCTTTCGCGGTTTCTTTAACTAAAGTAACAACGGATGTGTCGGGGTGATTAATGGTGAATCCATTTTTAAGAGATATTAAGCTTGTAGCGCCATCTGTTTTGTTAGATTTTGTTGAAATGTTATCAGCAGTAGTTTCAACCTTGACGTTGCCATCTGTTTTATTTAAGTGCGCGGAAATCGTAGTCTTAGCAGCAACAGCTTTAGTGGTGGGAATTACTTTTGTGCTATGTGGCTTTTCCGTGCTCAATACCTTTGTGGTGCTCAATGCCTTTGTGATGCTAAATGCCTTTGTGGCATTCAATAATTTTGTGGTGACAAATGCCTTTGTGGTGCTAAATATGTTTGCGGTGTTTGAAGATTTTGTTGAGTTTAATTGAGGTTTGGTTGTAAAAAATGCATTAGGCAGGTTGGTGACTCTACGGAATCCCATGTAATATGAGATAGAACTAGATTTTCTAATTTTATTGGTTACTCTATTTGGAACTAATTTTTGTATAGTACTACCAGATTTATTAGGATCAACCTTTTTGTTACTCAACATAAAGGACTCTACTCCAGCGAGTATAAGAACGATTAAAACCGTATTTAACTTTATAATCATGACTTGATTAAGAATTAGAGATAGTTTATATAAATTTAAACTTAAAAAAATTAAATGAATAAAAGATAAAAGTAAATTATATTGATAAAAAAAATGGAACAATTCGAATTAATACTTCTAAAAAATATATAATTATTATCTAAACATAATAATTTTTAAATTGGAACTGCAAACTAATCGTAAGGGCCACACACTCAAACCAGATTAAATTTTAACCCGATTAATAAAAATTTTTTTAAAAAAATAAAATATATATTTAGATAAATACCCGTTAACCTTCTCCAAATCCATCGTAAAATAATCTATATCTAAATTTATCCCTTAGGGAAGTTTCTTAAACTTAAGTTTTCGTTGCCTTTCACAAGTCATTTTTTCCAATTACTTTCAAATATTTCAATCGTTCATTTAAATATGTTATTCCGTATTCTTTAAACTTTCATCTTCGGATAATCAAGAGGAATGAAAATTCATTAATACCTCAGTCTAAAACTGTCCACCGAGCTTTAAATAATGCGTAAAAAAAAGACTCCTACTTTATCGTGGGATATAAAATTTATTTTTTTAATAAAGTTTTAGCTTTCGATATTATATTTAATCTATATTTTATTTATTTATTTATTTATTTCACTTTCTTTCTTTCTTTCTTTCTTTCTTTCTTTCTCTTCTTTCTTTCTTTCTTTCTTTCTTTCTTTCTTTCTTTCTTTCTTTCTTTCTTTCTTTCTTTCTTTCTTTCTTTCTTCTCTTTCTTTCTTTCTTTCTTTCTTTCTTTCTTCTCTTTCTCTTCTTTCTCTCTCTTCTCTCTTCCCCCCCTTTCTCTTCTTCTTCCTTATATTTCTGTGAATTTGAAGCTTTTATATTCTTCATAACGGTGGAATATTCTTAACTCCATTTTGTAGTTTTTAGATTATCTAAATCCCTTTTTTTTTAGAACAGGAATTTTATTAGAGAGCTCCTCTATTGCCCATCAAACAGAGTTCTCTCTTCTTTTTTTAAAAAAAATCTAAACATCTGTTTATTATTTTATTTTTTTTATAAATTTTAAATAGATTAAATTAGGAAATATATTGACCTAAATTCAATCCCAGAATGGCCGATACAAATACTCCTCCCATATTGATAGGAGCCAATGGCTCCTCACTCCAAGCCCCTCTTGCGTCATTTGTTTTAAGTGTTATCAGTGACGTAGGCATAATATTAAAAACAATTTTTAAAATAAATCATAAAATGGACGACAAAATTTTTCTATTATTATTTATATTAATTATAATAATGCTGATACGATAAATATTGATAATAGATGATAAATAAGAATGAATGAAAACTCGGAAATATTGAATTTCCATGTGGCAAGGCTAATTTAAAGTCCAAAGCTGCAATTCATAGTGGAATTAAAATCAATTATTCTAAGATTATTATCATGAATGGAATTAGAGATAAAGTAACAATTAATAAAGAAGAATTAATCTCATAAACAGATCTTAAAAATAGATCAGCTGTTATATTATGTCGGATAGCCAATTTAATAACACCTAATAAAAGGAAAGATTCTATTGTAATATTGCAAGATTTCACGAAGATCTTTGATCCCTGAAAGTGATGATATAAACAATATTCCTCCCCCCCTCCCTTAAAAAAAAGGTATTTTGTCACAAAACAATGGCTGAAATTTTTTCAAAGATAATATGAAGGAAAGAAAGTTAAATACTTTTTGAAAATAAACATTATCTTTAAATATTTTGATAATTTTATCATTATGTTTAGAAAATAAAATCCTATATTCGAGTAAATGTGTAAATCGAAAAGCCTAGTGAAGGTCAAACTTCCTATCCATTTTCAACTTTAAGAAAGGGACGCATCCCAAAGACTAGATATAAATGAAAGGGATCTGTCCAAGGTGCTATTTTAGTTCTATATTGCCATCCCAAGAATTTTGGCATAGTAGAAAATATATATACTATTTATATAATTTATAGCATTTATAATAAATATAAAATACATTATAACGTAACGAACAATATCCATTATTTTCTAAATTTATTAAATATTCACATATCATTTCATAATTCTAAGTGCTAAGGCATTTTAGTCCACAGGAAAGTATTCCAAGGCCCTTTAATCATTTGTTTTCAGAAATTTTTTAAAAAAACTCCTCTAGTAAAAAAAAAATGTCATGCTAATATAGCTTATATTTTTCAAAACGCTGTAATTTTGTAGGTTAATATCCAAAACTGGAGATTTGGAGCATTAATTAACAAAATGTAGAAAATTCAGAATCAATAAGTCCAATTGTCCCTTTCTATTAGAAGGTTATTTATTAAATTTATACATGATAACTATGTTATAAATCTAACTTAAATTAACAGAAAGGGTCTGATAATAAAATTACCGGGATGATGAGGGGGTTGGGCATATGTTTTCTAAAATTCTTCTTTTTTTAAAAAAAATTGTTCTTGCAAGCTTGCAGTATCGTCATGGAGGGGGTGAAATTAGCGTTTTAAAAAATTTTTAAAAAAAAAACAAATTTCTACCTTAAAAATAAATATCATTTTGTAAAATTTATATAAAGAAGAAAATAAAATTATTGCAAGCTATATAATTGTTTAGGATAAACAGTCTTTAACGCGTTGATATGCCATTGGATAATATAATATAAATGCGCACGCATATGTTTATAAATTATTTTTACGCAAAAGGAAAAAGGAGAAAGAAAATGGAGGAAAAGTTATTTCTTTTCTAACTCTTTTTTTCTTCTTAAAACTCAAAATGACCAGGTTTAAAGTGATCATTTTTTTTAATAACCACCTCCTTATGATGAACAATCCTTTAAAATCATTATATATATTTCCTTACTATAAGGACTCATCTTGGTCAATAAACAGTGATCATATTAAGTAGTTAACGGAAAACTTCTTTAAAAATGGAAGCTCTAAGAATCATGTGACACTTATGGTGACAACTTTTCTTGTATACTTTTTTTTTAAAAAATAAATAGTATATAACGTCTTATAGTGACCACTTCATTAAAATAAATTTACAATTAAGGGTGGGGGCAAGGGAATGGTAAATGGACTATAAGAGGATGCTCGGCTCACTATATGATAAAATAATGTGTACCGGAAGTTAGTTGATACTTCAATAATTTAGAAAAGTTTATAGCAACCCCAGGCATGCTAGAATTTATATTACATAAAAATGGTGAATTATTATGATCCAAAATTTTCAGTATAACTTTGTTAAATATATCTTGGAATATATATATATATATTTATTTTGATTGTATAGTTTTTAAGATATGAACATTTCGTTCGTGACATGACGGAGTACGTGAAGTCATTCTAGAGTGAATTCGGAAATTATTTTTTATAACTTAGGATAGGAATTTAGGAATTTTTTTTTCTAAAAAAATATATTTCGCTTTATTTTAGTTGAAATTTTTTTTATCTAATCATTAATCTGTTTAATTATGATTAATTTTAATTATTTTATCTTTGCCATTTTTTTTCCTGCGATTTTGAACAATTTCAGGAAATTATTTTTTTTTTAATCCGTGAAAAGAACCCAAAGCTGTTATATTGATACTGAGAAATATTATCAAAAAAATTTAATATAAAGTCCACTTATTGAAAGAAAAATTGATGATAGACAACGATATGAAACTAAAACGGATAACTCAATATTTTAGCCAGAAAAATATTGCCTAATCCTCGAGATTTTGTTAATATATGTCTACATCTGTTCCTTCTGTGAGCAAAATCTCCAGGCTTGCGTCGTATTTTTCTGGATGAAATATTGAGTTAGCTGTTTTTAAAAATCGGCTCAAAATGAGCCGTTTAACAACACTAACTTGAAGAATATTCCTGAAACTCAATTGGTATGGTATCTAAGACGAAGAGCTGCGCATTGAAAACATTGTAATTATAGATATTTTACATTCAAAAATTCGTGCTTTTAATATTTTTTTTATCATGTATTTAAATTAAAGAATAAATCATTTTATTATTCTTTTTTTCAAACATTTATAAGTGTTGATCTTTTCCTGTTGAATTAATATTCAAATCTTTTTTATATACAATTAACTTTTACTGATATTTATTATATTGATAAATTGTGAAAAAATTATTATTTTACCAGAACGTAAATAAATATATATTTAATTCTTGCCCTGAACTTTCTTCAGGGATATTTTACGGAATCCAAAACCCTATTTTAGAACGAGAGTTCTCAGCCCTGTTATAAATATGGTATCAAAAATTAAATTAAGATAACTTACTCAGCATTCCATATTACAAATATCGTTATAATTCACACGCAGTGCATTTGGAAAGCTTGTTCTTAGCGCTATTTTTAATTTTAATTTTTATCGAGTTATTATTTCTAAAAAAAACCATAAATTTTATTTATTAAAAATTGGGGTATTTTTTTTACGGGGTTCTGTCCGTAATTATTTTTAATAAAGCTCTTTTTGGGTAGGACATTTTTCCAATAAATTAGTTTTTAAAAAAAAATTTACTATTATTTTTGAATTTTTTTATATCTAAAATATAATAAGATATTCGATTTTGTATTATTATTCCCAGAATAAAGTATGGTTTCTAGTAGCATTGTTAAGGTCCCATTTATAGTAAACGCGTTATCTTAGCGTTATTTCTGAAATCAAGCCAATAGGAGCCTTATCATGATAAAGATGTGATAAAATTTTAAAAACATGTTTTGCGACTTGTATTTCAAATATTATTAACGCAGTGAAATGAATCAGCTTGGATTTCGAAAGCTTTAAATAACGCGACGCTTAAACATAATATGTCTACTATAAATGAAACTTATGCGACACGAAATAATCTATTTTAAATTAAGATTTTAGCTAAAATAATGTTACGCAACCTCTAAATTTTGTTAATAGTTGTCGATAGTGTTGTTAAACGGCTCGTTTTGAGCCAATTTTTAAAAACGGCTAACTCAATACTCTTGGATAAAAAATTATTGCCTAAATCTCTAAATTT